TTAAGTAATCAGAAGTTATTTGTCCAAAACAATTCTGTATTTCACAGTTCATCATGATGAGCATCACGGAACAATTTACACATTAAAAAAATAAAGCATTTTATATCTACAAACAAAAATGTATACTCTGTATTCTTTGCTGTTCACCCAAATGATGAAAATATAGAAGAAAAAATTATACAAATATATAGAGCAGTTAAAATAAAGCCAAGTAACTTTCTGGCTGTCTAGTCTGACTATGTTGTATATTCCAAACTTGTATCCCTAATACTGAAATACACACTGTTTGGTTTGCTGAGAAAGACAGGTAAGAATGAGAGACTTAAGTTTTGCATTGAAAACTATTCTAGAGTGCCTTGAATTAAATCAGCCTGACCCAGAATAATATTGTGATCACACATCGGGTCTTTTACTTGTTTTGTTTATAATATCTTTACAACATGTAACTTTCACTTAATTTGCTCTATTGTAGTAGCATACGTGTTGTATGAATTATCTTACATTGTTATGGTTTGTTGTATAATATAAAGGAGACATATTATGCGCCTTTTTACAATATGTAATATAAGTCTATGGTGTCCCCAGAATGTGAAGCGGCTGTCACCGCATGTGAGTACTAAACTAAGTTCTCATTCACACACAAGTTTACGTTAAAAACCCACAAGTTACAAAAACCAGTCAGTTATGTCTATGAAGGTAAACCGCTGGGAAATAAATCACATGTTTATTTTAGATCTGTGTGGCAGCAGCAATATACAGTAATCCTTGGTTGGCAGATGCACCGGGGACCTGATTATAGCACTTAAAACCTGGAAAAGTCAGATTTTCATGATATGTCACCTTTAATACAATTTACTCACCAGGTCTCATAGCAGATTTATCAGACTCACGTATTGTCCATATATAGTAAACGCACACAGTGATCAGACAGAGAAGCAGAAATCCTCCTCCTCCTCCTCCTCCTGCAACTACGAGCTGCCAGTTACTGAGCAGTGAAAACTCAACAGCGGCCAGACCTGATCAAGATCATAATGATGATTGAGATAAAAACCATCATAAAATCATCCACTTACACGCTGATAGCCCATTAATGTCCTTAGAAATCAGTGAGTATTTGAATTATAACTCTTTACATCTCTTTGTAGCCCAGAGAACAGTTGACGTCTCTGAAGAGTTCACAGCGGTAGAGACCCAGATCAGACAGCTGCACATCTCTAATCAGGATGGAGAAGTTTCCAGAGGCAGCAGCAGCACTGAATGCTTTAATTCTATTGCGTCTCTTATTCCAGAAGCTTTCAGGACCATTTACTTCGATCTCTACAATGTAGTTAATGGTTTCATTAATCTGAGTCCACACAGCACCTAAATTCATGGTCAGGTTTGATCCAGTCAGAGCTGGTTCAAAAAGGCCCGGCAGCAGGATTTCAGACTGCAGTTCTGCTGTTAAACTGATTCTTGTAATGAGCTTCCCGTCTTCACACACACCATGACCTGTGCTAAAGATTAGAAAAGGACAAGACTTTGATACTTTGCACACTTTAAAGGGTCCAATAAGATACATTTACAACTGATAAACAATTCAGAAAATTTACTGACCTCTGCCACAGACAAGACAGCAGCAGCACAATATCCAGACAGCAGAGAAATAGAGTCCAAACAGCTTCATGGTCTCATCTGACCACTGAAGCTGTAGTAGAAGTGTGCACTGCGGTGAGAAATGGTGTCATTTCCTCACAAATTGAACACATGTGGTGTTCACAAATGCATAAGCAGCAATACCAAATAATAGTCTTCACACATGATGGTGAATGTGTGAATTCTGCTTCTGACAGTTTTTTGTTCAACCAATGAGATTCTAATTGGCATGTACAGCTATAAACAGCATAAGCAAAAACTCTTGATATTTCTCAGCATTTACCTCAGGCCAGTCAGATACTGTCCCATACAACAGCTATAGTCATACACGTTAGATTTGATCTGACTCTTGATCTACATTGAAAAACCACATTCTACTTAAATGTGGCAATTTCTAGTTTTAGTAACATAGAAATTATATTTCAATAAATTCTTCTGCAATTACTCTCAAACTTTGACTCAAAAGACATGGAAGTAGCTAAAAAGTTACATTCAAAGTATATTTTTATTATTTTCTTGCATTCCCTGGGAATCAAACCCATAATGTTGGCATTGTTAGCACTGTGCACTACTGTTTAAACTACAAGAATGCTCACCGGAAGGACTCACTCCAAGGGACACAGACAAAAAGTTACATTAAAGACACAGGGTACACCGTACATGTACATAATGTGTCAAATTCTCTATTAAAATAAACATCTTTCCAACTATCGGTGAAGACGGAAACATTAAAGTTCCCACACAGAGGAAGGAGGGAAAAAAAAAACAAAAAAAAAACCTCAGGCCACTAAACAGCCCATCAGCTATTCCCTAAATAGCCTGCGTTTACACAAATGAAGCAAGAAAAGTCTAGTTTTAGCAGCCAAAACTACTTCCCTTCTGTGGCAAGCAGAATTATGTGTAGGAAATTATGTAAACATTTAGTAACAATTCAAACAACCTTATCAAGGAACAAAAACGAAAATCGGAAACTAATGAAATTTTGACAGAAACAACCAGAAACTAAATCAAATTTTATAGTTCCGAACAGAATCGAAAATTTTAAATGGCCATTAACCGGTTAATAATGTTATTTTATCGTTCCGTTTAAAGGGGTCCTATTATGCTTTTTCACTTTAGTTAGTCTGTAATGTTGCTGTTTGAGCATAAAAAAGATCTGCAAAGTTACAAAGCTCAAAGTCCACTTCAAAAGGAGATATTTTATTTAACAGAAATCACTTTTCAAAAACTACAACGAACGACTCGTTTGGATTACATCGTATATTTTCCGGGATTTGTGATATCACAAATATTGACGAATGGGATGAGACCTGGTTGAGCTGCACTAGAGAAGGCAACGAGTGTTATCACTATGTCGGCGATACGCTAGCTTTCCCAAGGCAGACGAACTTAGAGTGGTTACAATCATCCGGGTTTAAATCGCGCTCAAATTGATTTGATTTTGATCCAATATTTACACTAAAGCTCGCAGGTGGCATAAGATTTCCCGACCAGGGATTTACCACTTTAATTTGCTGTCAACCAATCACGAATTCCAGTAGTACGCTGAAGCCAAGGAGTGAAATGCCCGCTCAGCTCTGAACTCATCATTGGTAAGTCGCAATGGCAATGCACAGATGTAGTACCGAAAGGGGCGTCTCACACGCACACACAACATATTTTTGCGACATTGCAGCCTGTTCATGGACCTTTTTCACATTTCCGGGTTTCTCAGCAGCGGAAGTCGTCATAGTTGGGTTAACTTTTTTTTTTTTTTTTTTTTTTTTTTTTTTATTTTTTTTTTTTTTTTTTTTTTTTTTATTTTTTTTTTTATGCTTTATTAATTCAATGCCACAAGAACATGAGGTATTACATATTCACATGATCAAATTTAGTTGGGTTAACTTGAATAGCAGTGAATGGGAGAGTACTACAAATATATTTTTTGCATTCCCATTTGCTCAAATAGCAAAAGAAAAACTCCACGATAGTGTTTTCATTACTTTCAATAAAAGGAAAAAAATTGAGAGACTGATAACGGCTGCCAGAAGAGAGAAAGATGTCAAATTTACCATCCGTCCCATAGACGCTGCATTAGAAACACCCTCGCATTAGCGTTAACTGTTTTTTTTTTTGTAATTTGATGCAAAGGTGATATAATACAAAGAATAGTGTTATAAATGTACATACATTTAAAAAAAAAAAAATACAAATATGAAAAACTTTCGAGGATTTACAATGCTGATGATGACTGTTAAACGCGTCATCACAGACTTATGAAAAGGGTCCACTATCAAAATAAAATAGTTAAAGAAACAAATAAAAAGTTACACTGCTCCGTTGTATAAAATTTGTTGCGTTCAGCGTGACCAGCTGTGCTGATATAGCCAATGTAAAGGATGATGAAGTACAAAGCCTAGCCTATAATAAATAATATTTTAGCATCCAGATACGTCGCGAATATGGAAACATTTGGATTCGTGCCGAACAAGAGAGGTAGGCATCAGTTTCACCTTAAATTTATTTGTTTTTGGATTGACGTTTTATAGCCTAAACGCATAGCCTTAACTTTAGAGGATTTGTTGTGGAGAGAAACTAATTGTGTTTATAATGTTTCTAAACATTTTGCTTTAGCCTACCGGCATTTTAGCCTACATTATATCTGAATGTAATAGGGCTAATAAAATGCGACGTGAGCCTATACGCGACTTGTGTTTTTTTCACTCTCAAAACGCAATCTTATACAAGGAGCGTTTTTTAACAATGCAGCAAACATGTTTATATATCTTAAAATACTTTAATGTCTTTAAAGTGTTGATAGATTTTTTTATTTTGTTTAGTAGCCTACATTTGGCCAAAATCTAAAAAAGATGATGGTGTGACTAAGCGAAGCAGGTTATAGGCTAACGTTACCAGATCTCTTCCTGTTTTTTCTTTTCTTTTTCTTTTTGAGTAAAGAAAACGCTGTACTTTATTATTATTAGGCCTATTATAGGCAAAGAAAATTGTTTTTAAAAAATAACGTTATTAACCGTTATTTCTTCTACCCGAACCGGTTTCAGAACGGTAATAATACAGAGGAACGCAGGAACAGAAATGTTAAAATATAGATCCTGCTCTGAGTGAACCGATTGATTTTATTTTATTTTTTCAAGCCCTGTTTAGAAATGTTAAGTAAATGATCTGATGCTATAATAGTCAGTTCTGTTCTGACTAATGCAGCAGCATTCAGAAGCAGAAGTGATGCTGGGGAAGTATAGGGCCTACCCAAAATTGAAAATTGTTATCATTTATTCAGTTATTCATGTCAGTCCGGAATCTTCTTTTCTATAGAATCTTGGATTTTTTGGTAGTTGATTGGAAAGAAACACAGTAGAGACAGGAAATACAGCACTGTTTGTTTCAGAGAGGTGGAGCTCTGTTCTACTTTATTGATTGGTCTGCACATTTCTTATCCACTACTGAGGAGACAGTGATACAAACACTGGATTTTCAAAATCAGGGGACAAGTTACTTTTTGAAGTCTTGATTCAGAACAGACCAGAAAAAAAAAAGAAAGTCACCCTTGCAAAACTGGACTGTAAAATAGACTGACGTGATGAGCAATTTTAATTTTCTTTAAGATTCAAGTTTCACCATTTTTTGTCAATGCCATTGTAAACACTTGACATCCCGTTAAAACGGGATGAATATAACATGGATGCTGAAAAATATAATAAAATAAAAAGAATGTGGAAAAAAAATCCAAACATGAGCTCAACATTTTTTAGACTTCTGAAGAAAACGAAACCATCATATTAAAGGTGGTGTTATTCAAACAAAGCAGAAGCACATGAAGTGGGGAAAAAAGCAGGATCAAGAGATGCCTCCATTAGCTTTCATCACATTGAACTATTTCTGCAAGTAACTAAAACTGAGCTTATTCACTTTCAGACAGAGATATTCAGATCTCTGATCAAGTGCTGCTACTCGGCAGCAGCTAAGATAAATGGTACCGATTTTATACGCTTAATCCAAGTTTAGAAAAAAAAACTAGCTCAAATTTCCAAGAATTGAAAATGCAGATAGAGCTGAAACATGAATATATCTGAAAGCGTCCCAGACCTCTTCATGACATTGAATAACTTAGATTACAGGTAGTATGATTTGAAGATTCTCAAAATTACTAAAGAAAAAAAGTGCAACAATGGTGCAGAGATGTATCAAGTTCGGTACTTCCTCTTTTTATCTTTGTATTTTTGTTTTGTGGTCTAAGAAAATCACACGTTGATAGAACATACACGTTATACGTGCTCCTTTATGATTAGTAAAAGAGGATTTACAAGTATATTCTCCCTAGAAACAAATTAATCTTCAAAAAGCAAAAAGGTTACTGGGGAGGGGTGGCGGACCTTGTACAACTTCTAAGATAAGCCCTGTTAGAACAGTTAGCAACCACAAGATAAAGATGTGATAAAGAGTGTCAAACTGTCAGACATTCAACCGCAGGGCCAAACGCTCTAAACAGATCTGCAACAGGCCACTACTGAAGACTAGAACCAATTTGAAAAGAAAAAGAGAGAGAAAAACAGAAGAAACATTCATCTCATGTCTGAAGTGAATCAGACGAGCTCCTACACCAAAAAAAAGGCTGATGTCTTGTCCTCCTAATACAGCTGACGAATGATTGAGACTTCCTCCCTAAAGTAACAGGGCAGAGAACATCTCAACAGTGCTGCACAGACAGGCTCCGCATCTGGAGGGACAAAGTTAATGAAGTCCTTTTTGCGTTTTATTTGGAGTAGTTTCGATTAGACCATTACTTTCAGATGCTGGAAGCTCAATGCTCTTCGCCCGACTGACCACAATAATCTCCACAGTGTCTTGTTGCACCCACCGATCCATCCAACTGGGATAAATTTAAAAAGAAATGTTAAAATGCAGAAAGAAAAAAAAACGAGTTAAAGGAAAAACACTGCAAAAGGTTACTCTATTTACAGACATTGATTTTTTCTTTTTTAATGAAAAAAATCTTTACAGAAACAAATTTTCAGCAAACAAGTCTCTTTACAAGTTCTTCATCCTTTTGACGTTCACGTCTCTATTCACTTGGGATTTGTCTAGTTCTCGTCCCCAAATGGGCCAAAAAAAATAATAAATCAAAGCATCGGATTTAAATCCTGAAAATCAGTGGCTCTCTGCAATGCTCTCTCTGACCACCAATGGGCACCAAAGTAGCACCAAATGTACGTCCTCCTTCCCAGCAGAATCTCACTCAAATGGCAGTGAGTGGGATTCATAAAGACAGCGAAAGGAGGGCGATGGTGAACAGGAGTGGGGCATGGATGCTTGTGTAGGAGAGGGAGGCGATCACCTGCCTCAGTCGTCGCTGTCCGAGAGGGTCTCGTACTGCTCTGACAGTAGCGGTGGCTCTCTCTCCCATGCGCGCGTTGAGGCCACGGGGCCAGAGGCGCCACCCTGTGGCTGCTGCTGCTGGGACTGCATGGAGGGAGATGGGCAGGCCATGGAGGTGGGAGGGGTACTACTGAGCATGCGCATCGTCAAGGGGTTATAGGGGAACTGCATGGAACCTGAAGCAGGATGAAAGAGAGAAACAATCATCTTAATTTTCAACTAATGTCACCAACAAAACAATTTCATCTAACAATACACAATCAAGTCGCTCACCTGTGGACGATGGCCGGTCCTCCCAAGCCCAGGTGGGAGCCTGTCTGTGGTAATCGCCCTCCGAATGAACCGAGGATACAGAAGAGGGCCGCTCTCCAGCAGAGTATGCCTGGCCTGGGTTAGGAGACTTTGATTTCCTGCTGCTAGCTTTGCTCTGAAGCTTCTGCTTTCCTGCTATGGAAGCAGAAAGATTGACAAGGATGTCAGCAGTGTGGTTTATGTCCTAGACACAGATTTGGTCTGGTCTTGAATGAAAACATTCAGAATAGAGGTATCACAATATTTTTGGTATTTACAATAACCGTGACATTTAAAAAATTAGATTGGTTGAACCACTGATGTCACATGGATTTTTTAAATGATGTCCTTACTGTGTTTCTAGGCCTTGAATGTGTCAGTTCTGTTGCTGTCTATGCACTGTCAAAAAGCTCTCGGATTTCATCAAAAATATCATAATTTGTGTTCCAAAGATGAACAAAGTTCTTACAGTTTGGACTGACATGAGGGTGAGTAATAATTAATGACAGAATTTTAATTTTTGGGTGAACTAACCCATTAATACTGCACATGTGATAATATCATAAATAATCCAGCGTCAGTAACTATCTGGTTTTCGCATCAACACAGTAGGCGGTGATATTACACCTTATCACTGGTTGCCACCCATTACAAAACTTAAAGAAGACAATGACGCAGTTTGTAGATCTTATTGCCGCACAAAATCATGTTGGAAGAGATGACAGACAAAAGCAAAACACTCTACATGCACCTAAAAAAAAAATTTTTCTTGCCAATGTGAGAGTTTTTTTTTTTTTTTTAGAAAAAACAAAAGTTAAAAAAGTTATTATTATTATTATTATTAATGTGAGAGTTTTTTTTTTTTTTTTAGCAAAAACAAAAGTTAAGACAGTCTGTAGGAAGTGCCAATCAACAGCAAGTTCTTTTCAGAAACTTTTGTACAGTTACAAACTCTCTCTCCACCTCCCTAAACTCATATTTTGAGTGTGATTCATTTGCCAAAAAGAAGAAAACAAAAAGATAAATTTGACAGATAGCATCATTTATTTCTTTTCTTTTCTATAGATGTCAAAAATATGATTATCATGAATTCTTTTGGTTGTGATAAATGTAATAAAAATCTGATATTGTGACTGCCCTAATCCAGAGTGATTACCCACAGAAGACCAGTATTAGCGGTGTATTTATCACACACAGATCACACTTTTTTTGTGGCAATTAGTCAAACCACAAAGCAATCTCTAGAAAGTTCAGCATGTTGGTATGAGTTTTTCTGTTTTAGGGAAAATGTATGTTCATTGATGTGAATGTACAGTATGAACCTGTGTTAGGGGATGGGCTGGCCTCCTGTCGACCGTCTGAAATACTGCTCATGCTGCCTGAGCTGTTTCCTGTCCCCAGCTGGGCTTGCTGCTGCTGTGGCTCCTCCTGCTTCTCCTCCATGTTCCCCATCAGAGCTTTCCTGATGATGTCCTCCAGACCCAGATTACTGGCTGGATCACTAAACGAGTGGTTTCTAGGGTTTACACTGCCTGTAAAACAAACATATATGCACATATCGGAAACACTGAAAACCAATTTAAGTGTTTAAACTATAACAAACACAAACAAATGAAAATACATCAAATGATGCAAGTGCTTATTTTTTTATGGAGAAATTAATCATACTGATGATGTTGTGAAACTCACTTGATGTTGTTACTGCTGGGAGATTGAAGATCTCTGTGCCTGGCTGAGCATTACCTGTTGAGATAAGGAGCAAATGGGAGTAAGAATTAGGTCAAGTGGCAGCTGTCTAAATAAAAGACATCAGTGTAACAGTGCAGTGAAGTAAATTTCCTGAGCTTGAATGTCAGTTTCTGAGAAAACGGGCTTGCCGTTGTCACTCACCGACTTCTGCTTTCCGGAAGATCTCCTGCTTTTTGGACATAACCATATGAGACGTGCTTTCCAGTTTGGTGAAGAATGAGGGGAGGTAACTGCTGCTGCCTGGTGACCGCGAGTCAGTCCTGACACAAAAGAAAGGTCTAAGGTCACACAATGCATATGGCATAGGAAATTTGGGTAGCCCAAAATAACAAAGACAATAAACAGACAACAGTTAGAGGATTCAGGTATACAGGCAGTCCATATTGCATTTAAACAATTTTATTACAACATTTTAATTTTCTTTTTAGTATTTTTTCTTCATCATTCTAAACAAAAGCCTGAAAAATGACATGTAATAATAAAAAAAAGCATAAATAAAGCCTCATACTTTGTAGTAGAACCGACAATGAATTTCTACCTCTGTTCAGGGAGATCCTGCTCTCGTCTCGGACTCTGCACTACAGTGGCTTCCTGTTTATCCAACCCAGAATAACCCTGAGGAGGAGAGATGGGCTCATAGTTCTCTGGTCCTCGTCCTCGATCAGGAGACCTACCTGGCCTACGAGAGACAGATGGATAAGAGGCTGCTGCTGGGACATTGTTTTCAGTGTGTAAAAAGCATCTCATGCATTTTGGAAGGATTTGTGTATGTGACCAAAGGTTCTCAGATCAGGTTTCACAGATTACTTAAAGAGGCTGTAAGCAATGTTAGTCCTTCTAGAACTTCAGCCAGATGTAGCCAATCAACTCTTTATTTTTTCAAAACCTGCCTGTAAAGACACTGTTGTATCAATGACAATGTTGTATTTAGAGATGGGGCAAAAGAGCAGTGTTGTCACAATTGTACAGCTAAAATGTCAATGATCCGATTTAACAACTATGCTCTCAGCTTCCTACTTCACAAAGGCTTGTGAATGCCATTCCTGTGAATGAGCAAAAACTACAAGATTTGTGATTGACTAAAGGAATCTAACTTTGGCCAAAACAAATTTTTTTTTTCTTTTTTGGCAGATTACAGAGCCTTTAGCTGTCACAGAAGCATGCATTTAAGGGCACCCGATTTTTAAGTTAACCTTTACGGTCGTTGTGTTTTCAATAGAGACTGTTTGTTGGGTGTGCCCATATACAAATATTCACATACACTATCATTCAAAAGTTCAGGGTAGAGCAAGGCCATTGTAATGTTTTTTTGCTCACCAAGACTGAGTGAAATGTTTGGAGGTGTACTTACACACTGTGTGTGTGTTCATATGTACCTGGCTCTTGGTTTATCGGAGGAGTTCTCGGGAGATACTCTGCTTGGTGGTCTCTGGTGGTGTGCAGTAGGAGCTGGGTTTTCTGGGCTATAGCGGTTATGGGGTTTAACTCGACCTACAACACCTCCCACACCAGAGCTCTGGAAAGTGGAGGAGAGCGAGGAGGAGGATGAAGAGGAAGGCAGCGAGCTGGATGATGGGGGAGGATCCTGGCTCTTGGCAAAGTCTTGCGTAATGATATGCTGCAAGACAGAGAGCAAAAATGAGGGCAATGACAGAGGAGTGACGTGACAAAGCATCAAGAGTATGAGTGTGACTTACCGAAATGTGGTCAGCAAGGGTCATGATGCGGTGTGTTTTCGGGACGGGCCCATAACTGTCTGCGTGCAAGGAGGGGGGCTGTTGAGGTGCAGAAGGTCCTGAATCTCCTGACTGCATGAACCGGTTAATGTCAAACCTTAATCCTATAAAACATAAGATCAGATCCCCCCCAAAAAAAGCAGACGGGGGGTAAACATTTTCCTGTCATGAAAATCATTTTTACAATTTTCAAAATAATGTAAATATTTTTTCTTTTTGTTGGTGAAATATAACCTGGATGTGTTCCTGAAATATTTAACAAGATTCACCTCATCTTGACAGAACAGACCTTCTGATCACGTTCTTGACAGACCAGGGATTTGAAGTCTCACCTGAGCTCTTTTCTGATGGGAAAGGTCCTTCGTTCTTCTCTTCTCTTAGGGCTGGAGAGTTAGCTGGGCTGATCACCTCAATTCCACCCTGAGTCTCATAACGACTGGATGACACTGAATGACATGTAGACATGATGTTACAGCTTTTTAAGTAAATAAAGTTGGTTTGTTAGTAAGAGAGGGTGTGCCATCTACACCTTTAGCACACTGCTTTCAACCTGCATCTAAATAAACACTTGCTAGTGTTCAACAGAAAAAATAACATGTGACTTTTGATGCTTTTCTGTTCATTTTGAAGACAACATGCCATTGTTACAATTAAATCCATCTGTTAATATCTGTGTGAATATTGAAACCTTATCATGGCATCACCACATAATGTGGCATAAAAAATGAGCAGATTACCCAGAAGTTGGCATCGAAACAACCTTCTAGCAGCCTTTACAGTAAGTCACTTAGGAAAGACAGTGAATTTCATTCCCGTGGTAAGAGCTACACACCCTTTAATGGAATTACCCTGTCAAATCTGAGGTCAGAAGTTTGTGACTGTTGTCAGTCTCCGTTCCAGCTGGGTCACGGGTTGTGCTATCGAGGTTTCCTAAGACTATTAGGTCTCATGGCCTCAATGGCACTAGCCATCCTATTAGGTGTCCTGTTAATGCCCTCTGTTAGGAAATCCCTAAGTATATGCCTTGTCTTTTACGTTGTTCAATTTCTTGAATCATTCTTTTTGCCTCTGAGCAGGATATAAAGATGCTGGTGGCACTGTGACCAAATTGCACAAATCCTGCATATGGTGAAACATATCACTTCCTGTTTGCTCTGCTTTGTGGCATGTACACTACTGCTCAAAAGTTTGTAGTCAGTAAGATTTTTCTTTCTGAAAAGAGAATACTTCTATTTAGCAAGGATGCATTAAATGAATCAAAAGTGACTTAAGACATTTGTTACAAAAGATTTCTATATCAAATACATTATTTCTATTCTAAGAATCCTGAAAAAAATATCAGTTTTCACAAAAATATTGAAATACACACAAAAAAATCAATATATGCATTGATGATAAAAATAAACGTCTTTGAAAACGAAATTAGCATATCTGAATGATTTCTGAAGGATCATGTGACACTGAAGTCTGGACAAATGGCTGCTTAAAACTCACAGGAATAAAATGTCATCTTAAAATATATTAGGGCTGTGCGATATGACGATATATATCGGATGGACGAAATAAAGTCTATCGTTTCATATTATGCTCTATAGTTTATTTTGTGGTGTCACAAAATACATTGTTTACGGTAATACTTTTTCATCATTTGGATGACTGCGATCTTTACACGCCACCACGGGGCGTGAAGGGGAGACAGAACCAGGTGGAGAATGACCAGCCAGGACAAAACAAGGAGCTCCTTCCTAAACGAGGGACTACATCTGTAGCATGGACACGCGTTTTTAAGCACTGCAGTTTTAAAACAACCGATTTTAAGCCGTTGAAACACAAACAACAGAGCTATATGCGTGCACCGTCTCTGTTTCTGTGTGAGCGGAGCGCACATTTTTTACTGCTTTATTGGCTTTGAATGATTACAAAAACACTTATATGCGTCAGAATCCCTGTCTTTGCAAGTATCCTCATAAACCGTGATTTAGGTCTTAAGAGATAGTAAACAGCTGAAAAAGAAAACGCATATGTAACAATATATTGGATCCGGACTTCGGTCTTAAAGGGGACGCCGTCCAATGTTTGTCCTGTCTGCCATTCATATTAATCAAACAACAGTGAGAGAAAATCTCCCACTGCTCTTGACTAAATTATTTTTGTAACTTTAATAAGAAGAAATTAAAAAATAATAATGATATATATATATATATATATATATATATATAGAATCTACACATAATACACGTGTTAATTCTATCTATCCATCGATAGATAGAATTAACACAGTGAAGACTAATTAATTTACGCAATGTATGTAGCATTTCTTATTTATTGTAGTTTTTTGTCCTATTGCTTGCAATTAGTTTCTTTTCCTTATTTCATCACTGACTATTTATCTTCAGTGAGCTTGAGGATTTTTTTTTCTTGTATTAGTTTGATATTGACATTGGTGATAAGGATTATGAAAATTCAATGGTATCAAAGATTTTAATATCATAAAAACCTTTAAAAAAAAAAAAAATATATAAATATAACCGTGATATAAAATTAGTCATATCGTGATATAAGATTTTGGTCATATCGCCCACCCCTAAAATATATCAGAAAATAGTTATTTTAAATTGTAATAATATTTCACAATATTACTGTATTACTGATCAAATAAATGTAGCTTTGGTGAACGTATGTTTTTTTTTGTTTAAGTCTCCAAACCTTTGAATGATAGTGAACATATGGACTCAAGTCATGAACTGTACAGAGTTACGCAACCTCTGTTGTTAGTAAACTGATCATTATTATTATTACTCAACATAAAAAAAATAAATAAAGACTGTCTATCTGATGACACTCACTGCTGCTGGAGGAGTCAGAGCTCTGTGAGCCTCTCTCACGGGGGTCCTTATCTGGGGCAATCTGGCGCGTGATGATGACATCAATAAAGTTTGCAGCAGTTATGGTGGTCTTCCCATGTGTGCGTAGCTCCTCCTCCATGCGTGACTTGGTGGGTGGGGCTTTCTCTTTGCTCCCCGCAGCTCCTCCACCCTCTGCATACACAGGATGGGAAGGTTTCCCACTAGGAAGTGACACGTCCCCATATGGTGACTGTACGGAACGGCGCTCCACCTCTTGCGACTCCTGTGCTGCCCGTCGTGATGTCATCATGTCATCATCCCGGGAGCTACTGTTATTATGCTTGCCCTCCTTGACTTTTGCAACATCCATCTGCGGGGCAGAGGCAGCAGCGTCCACCAGGGCGGCGAGGGCATCAGCTGCATTGCTGTATCGGCTGGCTTGAGCTGCAGCTGCTTGTGAGGGCATTTGCCTGAACAACCGAAACAGGAAGAAGTTTAAAAGAGCAAAACTAATTTTAAAATCCATAAATTAAAAGGGATAGTTGACCCAAAAATGAAAACTGTCATCAATTACTCACATTCATGTTGTTCAAAACACGTAAGAATTTTGTGCATCTTTGGAACACAAATGAAGATGTATTGAAAGAGATTTCTGTCCCTCTATTGAAATTACACCAAAATATTATATATATATATATATATAATGTTCATAAAGTGATTGCAAAAGAATTCCAAATGAATTGAATGGTTTAATCCAAGTGTTCTGAATAGGTATGATCACTTTATGATGAACAGATATAACTTTAGGCTTTTATTCACATGCAAACATTGATCAACAAACATGGTAAACAGTAGGGCTGTCAAAAAAAAAATTTGAATTTCGAATATTTGTCGAATTTAAAATAAAAATCCACATTCGAATGCAAAAACGTTGCATTCGAATTTTAGGTGTGCGTTAAGGAGGCAGCCTTATCAGTGGCGCAAGAGATGCGATGACGATGTAAGTGTCGTTGCATTATAATGCTTTTGTTAGCCTATCCAGTTGAAGCCACTAGATGCGGCGCTGCTGC